TGGATGGCACTGAAGATAATGAGACCTCCCTAAGTGGCAGCTGTGTCTCCGCAGGGACATTGGATGATGCATCCAGATTGTCCAGCAAAGACTTCATAAACAAATAGTCACACATCATATAAGGAAGCTTTTGCAAAAAAAGAATATATGTCCACGGACCCAGATTATATCGCCTAGGACACTGTAGCGTCTTTCCTTGTGTGGTGTGAGGTTCCTCAACAAGTTAATTACCTACGCGACACATTTCTCAACATATGCCCTTCATTAAGCGAGTTATGACTGTGTTTCGAAGCTTCCTGACAGACTGTCGCTTGTTGGGTTGTTTGTCGGTCTACCTCAGGGGAACCAGGGAAGACACTTCTGAAGTAAAAAAAGCCAGTAAACTTCTCACGAAGTAAAACGCCTTTAATGAGGTGCATGCCTCCAGTTCTCTTAGAATTCCTCGAATACTAGAACGCCCCCGGGGTATTTGTGGGAAATTAGCCCCACGGGTTCATATTATAGAGTCTCACAACCTAACTCCGGAAGAATGGCCCCAAATTCACGCTACAAGAAACCCAGGGGTTTCCGAACCGCTGAGGTACCCAGCAGCACCAGAACCCGAACCTCCTGACTGATGCCGAAGCAGTCGCTAACGACCTCGGGAAGTGCTTTAACTCCAGCGCCCTTTTCTTCTAGGCAAACTACAAGTCCCAACATGCCTGGCGCCGGGATGTCGCCTGGTAACTCGCGCCTTAAGAAACACGCGAGGTTGTCTCTGCTGCACGCCTGCGCTTTGGCGAGTTCTGCGCAGGCGCACTTCCAACGCTTGCGAGGAGGGCGGGGTGTCGTTCCCTTTCGCTGATGCAAGAGCCTAGCGCGGTGCTGGGAGAGGTTTCGGTAGGCGCTGCGCCGACTCCGGGGTCTGAAGCCGACCGGTCTGACTTTCCATCCGTGCCGAACCCGCTCGAACCACAGCCATGTCCGGGGACGAGGTGAGAACCCGAGCCCGGAGCTAGTGCTAAGGACCGAGGCAGGAAGCCGGACCCACACCCGTGTGGGAAGCCGGGCCTGCGGCCTAGCGGTCGGCGGCCGCCATGTGGAGCAGCCGGGCCTAGGCGGCTCGGAGCTGTGGAGCCGACCAGGGCTCCGGATCCTCAGACTTGGCCGCACCCAGCTCTCGTCGGGGCGACGGCGTCGAGGCCGGCCTCCTGCCGGGATCGGCGTCTCGGAATGGGAAGCACGCCGAGTCGCCCTCGGAAGGGGTTTGGATGCCCAGTTAGTTTCCCCGATTAGGCAGAACCAGGGCAGGCGGCCCCGGCATTCCTCCCAGACACAACCGCCGCGGCTCTCGGTGCCGAGTGCCCAGGGTGCCTGGGGAAGCAGCTTCCCTCGGTCCCGGTGGAGCATCGTGATGAAAAACTTTGTAGGCTGGCTTTTCCGGGCGGATATCTCGCTCCCATTTCCCGCTCGAGACTTTATTTCTTAAGACGGGGTGTGAGGATCAGAGAAAAAGATGATTTAGTCTCAAAAAGTGACCACCCTTCGAGGAAAGTTTCCGGGCGCGAGTCCCTAAGTTTCCTTTAAAAGGCGAGGTGAGCAGGGAGGTCCGGCAGGGAAGCTGACTGGGTCTTTTTCTACCGGGCTTGGATCTCAGTAAACATTTCAAGCCCCCTTCCCTAATTTTTTTTTTAAATTATACTTTTTGCTTTGGTTTATCTTAGTTCACATAAAATTAAATAACTTAAAAAGGGATTGCGGTTGTCTCAGTTACATATTGCTTAACATTGGACCTAGAGGCCCAGTCTTCTTTCCCCCCTAAAAAAGTACTTTGTGAAGAATTTGTGATTGACTTGACTTACAGGGCCTTGGAGAGGGATAAGAGGAACAGTTGGAGGCGCTCTCCATAGTCGGCTTTTGAGTAGGCTCTAGAAATGATGAGAATTTTTCATTCAGTGAGAAAGCTGATCGCAAAGCATTTATGGTCACGGAAGGAACAAGTGCTTAAAGAAAGTGACATTCACCAGTTTGGTGAAGTAGATACTGGCTAGTTCGTGGAGGGCTTAGAAAAGTACATTAAGGAATTTGAGATTGATTCTTGAGGGAAGTAAGTCCTTTGCTGATTTTCACAGTTCCATAAAATAAGGTCCCGTTGGTCCATTTTAGAGATGAGAAAACTAGAGTTGTACAGTGCCTATAATCAGATTCCAAGTGGCTGAGCTAGTAATAGAATTCCAGATGTGTGCGATACTGCTTCAATCAAAGTGACCAGGAGGCTCTCCCAAGCTTACTAAGTAGTTCAGTCTGAAGGAGCTATGGTTCTTGCCTGAAAGACATGGTAGACATTGTTCTTAGCTACTGTACGTATGCGTTAGAAAAGGTCCGAGAGCAAGGGTTTCCTTCCCACTCATGTTCCAAATTTCATAACTTAAAAATAGCTACCTATAGACTGCTGTAGTCTATTTTTCTATGGTGTAGTAACAGGTGATAGCTAACACCTGTAGTGATGGGGGGTGGGTTTGAGAGGTCATTTTTTTGGTAACAAGATCTTTTGAAAGGTGTTGGGTAAGAATTTATTGCTAGAGGATGAACAGGATTTTTTTTTTTTTTTTAACCAAGCAAAGATGGTGGAACCTGCCTTCATACCAGCAGTAGTCTCTTGAAAGTCTGAAGTATGTAGCTCTGCCCTTAGACCTTTCATTACAACTTCATTTTATAAATGGAAAATTAGGGCCCAGGGAGGTTAGGCCATTCAGTAAATTGAATGGTACTAGCACCCTAGCCTTGTCTTGACTCTCAGTGGAATTGACTGGTAAGGGGAGAGGTGAACATGGGAAGTGATTCTGGTTTACCTAGTGAGTGCTGTTGACTAGGGAAGTAAGTCCCATTCACAAGATGTTAGAGCATTGAGTTTTCAGATACAGTGAGGTATTTTTGCAAGAGAAACTTAAACATTAAAAATTCTGATTATAGTCAGACTACACCTTTAATTTCAGAACTCGGGAGTACACAAAGACAGGTGGATCTCTGAGTTTGAGACCAAGCAGGACAACATAGTGAGACACTATCTACTCACCCCCAAAAGGGTAAAAAGAAGGCTGAATATGTAGCTTCTTCCTGAATGCTAAGCACAAGGCCTCAGTCCCCACTGTCATCAAAGCTAAACTTTAAAAAAGAAGAAAAAAGCTTAAATGGTACATTGTCAACAACCATTTTCTTCTTGAATCTAAAGTAGTCTTCAAACATTTGGAATGCAGTCAACTGCTAATTTGAAAGTCAGATATGAAACTTTTAGTTTTTGGTTTTTCAAGACAAGGTTTCTCTGTAATAGTCCAGGCTGTTCTGGAACTCACAGAGATCCACCTGCCTCTACCTACGCTGGGATGAAAGATGTGTACCACCACCGCCGCTTAGCCAGATGTGAAACTTGAAGCCAATGTCTCAATGTATATCTCAAGCTGGCAAGTACGATCTGGTGATGTGGGGAGTTCTGCTTTGGTGCTGACTTAGGATCTCTGTGGTTTTTTTTTTATGTAACTGTTTTACAGGGTTGTGTGAACACAATTAATCATTAGTATATAAACATGTAAGTGTTAAGTACTCGGGGAAAGGAATTGCAATACATGTTATTTCAGCATAGGGTCTTTGCCTGTTGACTACTTGTCTTGACTAGGCTGTAGTCTACCTATTATAGACCTAAATAAGAATTTTCTTCAGGGATGAAAAGGTAATTGTGAAGCTATCATTGATCATGTTAGGATATCTCCCATCTTGAGTAGTAACGGTGACAAGGCATTTAAGCCAGGTGTATTATTAGTGAGTGCCTATAATCTCAGCACTTCAATTTCAAGTTCAACACCAGCCTGTTCTACATAAGACTATCTCAAATCACAAACTCAGAAAAAGCTACTAGTAGGTCAGGGAAACTTAGACTTGAAGAAAATGAGTAGATTGTAAGACTGTCAGAATTAAACTTAGAGTGCCTGAAGTTTTATTTGCCCTTGTGCCAAGTCTTCCTAGTTCAAGAACAGAACTCATTAGATGAACATGGGATGTGATTCTGGTTTGAAGTACAGCATTCCTTCCATGTAGAGTGACCTCAGACCCTACAGTAAGTTAGCACTGGACTTGCTCTTGGTAATGGTGCTGTATGAAAATTTGCAGACTACCTTGTCCTGTGAGGACAGTAACCCTCCTCCACTGTGAGGACAGTAACCCTCCTCCACCTTACTACACACTAGAGCTTGGTTTCAGTCCTGCTTACTAGTTTCCTTACTGTACTTGGACATAAAGGAATTACAGTTAGTTGTTAGAATCTTCTTGGAGAACTTTTTTTAAACAGTTTTATGTTATGTTTGGAAAATCAAATCCCCCTAAGTTGAGGAAATTTTGATGACTGAATCAGTGTTGTATAATTGCAATCAGATATTTGATTCTCCTGGTAACTTGATTGGTTGGTTTCAGTTATCTCCATCGTACAGATGAAGCATAGGAGTAAGCCACAGAGAAGTTAGAGTCAGGATTGGGCTCAAGGTAATTAGGCTCCAGACCTGTGCTTTTGATCACTACACAATGAACAAAATGCTAAGTTTAAGCATGGTAGGGAAAAAAATACTTTGGACTCAAATCCAAATCTGTGTGACTAAAGACTTTGCTTTCTTCGCCAGCAGGAATATGCCCTATATGTTCAAATTATTTCAAGGGATCGGTGCAAATAATCTACAGGTTAGAAACTAATTTTTCACTTGTTCTATAAGCAAGTGAACATTTCACATTCCATAATAAAAAACAGTAAAGGATTCCTTAGAAATTTTTCTTATACTAAGGGTTGCTGATAGGTTTCCTTAAAAGTTAAGATTGATATGAACTTCAGCTAAATTTAAGATCTTTTTAGAATATTTTATTTTACTCTTTGATACTTTTTGTTTTTAATTTAAATTTCTTCCTGTTCTTTGAGACAGGGTTTCACTGTGTAGCCCTGGCTGTCCTGGAACTCACTCTGTAAACTAGGCCGCCCTCAAACTCACAGAGATCCACTTGCCTCTGACTTTCTAGTACTGGGATTAAAGGATTGCACCACCAATTTTCAGCACTCGGACAATTTCATACACATGTACAATATATCTTGATTGTATTGACCTCCAAACACTCTTCAACAGATAATTTTAAAAACTAAATCTCAGGTCTCCTGGTGTTAGCCACTCTAGATTATCAACCTTAAATAAAATGCTTATCATCTGCCTAGACATTGTTGATCTCAGCCATAAATGAGGAATACAACATAGTTTTTGCTAAGATCCTTTTCCTAAACTTCAGGATTTACTCATGAAAATAAAAATGAAGTTATTATAACTTAAGATATGTTAAATTAAAAGACGTGGGGTACTCCCATGTTTAATAATGTAAAGGAAGTTAGATGGACCTTTTGTAAACCTGTATTGTATTTCTGTTGCATGTGTTTGCCTTTTGTTGTATTTGAAAGAGTATGCGAACAAGCAAGTGGTGGGGGAAAGTGCTTTGATGCTTTGAGGCATCCCCCCAAACCTTTTTTTGGGATTTTAATATGCCCAGTTCTTTAAGAATAAAGCATATTTGGAATGTGAGCATCATTAAAAAATAATCAATTCATCTTTTTAAATTTAAATAGATGATTTTTGATCCTACTATGAGCAAAAAGAAAAAGAAGAAGAAGAAGCCTTTTATGTTAGATGAAGAAGGTGATGCCCAGACAGAAGAAACCCAGCCTTCAGAAACAAAAGAAGTGGAGCCAGAACCAGCTGAAGACAAAGATGTGGAAGCTGATGAAGAGGACAGTAGGAAAAAGGGTGAGTAGTTGTGTCGTTCACTGTTGTGGAAGCCTTAGTTGCTACACTGATTTGGTAGAGCTGGAGCCAGAGATTGAGGGATAGAAGGTGGGTGGGGACAGGGCAGACACAAGTAAAGAGGTATAGTTGGGTAGTCTCGGAGATGGTGTCTGAAAGCACTTTCTGACACTACGTGGTCAGATTACTGAGTTTGATGTTCTCAGCCAAGACCCCTGACCAGGTTTTTCTAGAAAGCTTTGAGTTGGTTTGTCAGTTTCTTCAGAACTATAACTTTGGTGGTAGTGGTAGGACTACCCTGGAAATACATAAAAGGAGTTGGTGTGACTCATAACTTGATGTCTTGCCTTCTGTTAATAATTGGAAATCTTTAATCTGTTTTTAGATGCTTCTGATGACTTAGATGACTTGAACTTCTTTAATCAAAAGAAAAAGAAGAAAAAAACAAAAAAGATATTTGATATTGATGAAGCTGAAGAAGGTGTAAAGGTAGTATAGCTTTCTTATTGAAGGTAAAATTGGAATTCTGGAAAGACTGCTAATAGCTGTTTTCCTCCTTCATCTCATCTCTTAATATCTTTGCTTTGGTTGTTTAGCATTTAGCCACTACTATTAAGGTAATTTTCTTAGGAATCTTATCTGACTACATGGTATAAAAGATTGTAATAGCCAGGCAGTGGTGGTGGATGCCTTTAATCCCATCACTTGGGAGGCAGATGCAGGCTGATCTCTGAGTTCAAGGCCAGCCTGGTCTACAGATTGAGTTCCAGGACACACACAGGCTACACAGAGAAACCCTGTCTTGAAAAAACAAAAACAAAAAGGAAAGAAAAGAAAAAAATGTGTGTGTGTAGTCAGAGGGATTTAGGTCTTATATATTATGTCATTAAAATGGACTCAAAATGCCCATTGTCTTTAACCATGCTAAAATTGTTTGGCTCACAAAAGATAATCTCCGTGGGCTGGAGAGGTGGCTCAGAGGTCAAGAGCACTGACTGCTCTTCCAGAGGTTAATATAGCTTTTTGTGTTAAACTTTCAGTACCAGCAAAGAACATCCCCCAGTGTGGTAGTTGGTAGCTGATGGCAGTAATTCTATAGGAAAACTAGGATTCTCTTGGTAATTCTGTGTAGAGTGCTCTTAATCTTGTAGGGACTTGAAACTCTATAATTGTCATCTTCTTGCATTGATTTCCAATACAAAAATCTGAAAGTTATTTGAATAAAATGTAGATAGGTAAGCAGGAAGGTTAATAGGAGGGTAGGTGGATGAACAGAGTAGCTGGAAGACTATTCTTCTTTGCTCAAGAGCTACCATTTTAAAGATAGGGGCTAGGGAGAGTACTCAGTGGCTGAGGTGTCTACTGGGCAACCATGAGGACCTGAATTTGGATCAACAGGACTGGCAAAAAAGCCTGCCTGGCAGCATGCACCCATAACCCTGATACTGGGCAGGGTGGAAACAGTAGTTCCCTGAACTCACTGTTAGTTCAGACAGTCAATAAAAATAACATGGAGCAGCAATTGAAGAAAATATTCAGAAGTCAACCTCAGGTCTCTAACACAAACATGGGCAAGTGTATACTGACACACATATGTACACACACATACACAGAGACTATGCAGAAATTAACAAAGCTCACACATTTATTTATAAAAAGAGCATATAGTAATTTTGTGTGTATGTGTCTGTATGTATTCACAAATATATGTTCACAGTGAAAAGAGCATAAACAATCATATATCTAAAGCTCTGATTTTTTTACTATGTACTGAAGTTTTTCTTTGGCAGTTTGCTCAAACCCAAGTATGTGAAGTGTAGCCTACATGTACAGGTAATTTATTTAGTCTGTTTGGAAACAAGGTCATAATTTAGATGACATTCCATTCAGCAAATTGTATTGGTAATTACACTGAGTTGGTGTGCTCAATTTGCATTGAAATGAGTAAGATTTTATTTTACTGGTGGTTCTGTTTTTTCTTCAGAGGTATTTCAAGGATAATTTAGAGTATTTAAAAAATATTTTTAGGATTTTTTATTTTATTTTATGTGTATGGGTGTTTTGTCTGTGATTGTGCACCACATGCATGCAGCATCCTCAGAGGCCAGAAGAGGTCATCAGCTCCCCTGTTTCAAGTATCCTAGTTAGGCACAGTGTGGATGACTACAACCTTGCTGGTGTGTGCTTGCTTATATTAAGCAGTTCTAAGTTTCTTATTTACTTACTGTTCATCATAGAGACTAGGTCCACTATTTGATCTTTTATTTGTAGGACATCTAGTTAATACTGTAGGTTGATGTGGCACCAAAACTACACAGCTCAATTCAGGATCTCATATTTGAGTTTCACTTATTCCCACCTATTTCAGTTTATCTGCTAAGATCTATGAAATTAGCCATTGTCAACAGTTATTCAAGACAGACACACAAAAAATGTAATTGTGATCATGTTGACAATATACTTGAGCAGGATAAGCTGGTGAGAAACTAGAGGCCAAGAAACATGCTGAGCCTCTGTTCTTTTGTGGAACTTATGATTCATCTCTTAAGATTTAATGTGCCCTTTTCACATTCAAGCCTACAGCAAGTAACCTTGGAGTCAGGCTGTATCATGTCTATCCATTCATCACATGACCCCGATTCCCCATGAGTTGTGTCTTTCCCTTTTTCATGATGTCATCTATTGAACTGATACCCAGCAACTTCTTCAGTTTGGTGCTAAGCTGATGTGATAAATACAATAAAAAATAATTAGGTCTTTACCTCTGGTATTCCCACATTCAACTCCTGAAAACCCCTGCAGTCTTCAAAGGTAATACTTGTTTTTGCTCTTGAGAAATCTAGTGTCCATATAGTTTCTCAGGATGGTTAGTCACTAGGAAGATCAAACTATTACTAGAGTTTGGAACTTTGAACGACCCCTGCTACCTTTGTGGATGGACAGTGTGGACACTTGAGTTCTGTCACAAGCTTCCAGGTTGGTAACCTCACAGAGGTGCTGATAGGGTAACATGTTTAGATACTTGGCTTTTTTTTTTTTTTTTTTGTTCTATACATTATTTTCATTTGGCTGTTCCTCAGTTAATCTTATAAATGATAAGTAAAACTTTGCTGAGTGCTGTGAGTTTTAGCAAATTACTGAATAGTGACCGAAGGTCTTTGAATTTGTAGCTTAGCAAAAGTGTAAATGAAACTTACTACTCGTGTCTGAAATGAAAGCCGTTAAACTATGAAGTCAAGTTTTGACACATAGGGCGTCTGATTAATTATTCCAGGTAATCAGTATTATACCTAATTTGTATTGGGGAGCTGGAGAATTGTGCAAAAGATAACAATGTATTTGGTGTCTGTAGGAAAATTCCTTCCATTGACTGTCATATTTAGAAACTTAAAGGGGATGGGAGGAGTTGAGGACAAGGATCAGCAAAAACAAATTTATCTACAAATGCAGTAATGAAACCCATTACATTGAAGCAAAAAAGTTTATTAAGGTACAGTTCACTTAGCATATAATTCATCCATTTAATGTAAATGTTTTTTAGCATATTCGGAGTTTTGTAACTGTCATCAATGTGAACACTTACATTCCTCTTGAAAACAAAGCCCGTGATCATTGTCACTCTCTAGTTCTCATTAAACACCAACCTGAGTTGGTGAGGCCTCAGCTACTGCTAATCTACTGCCTGTGTAGATTTACCTGTTCTGAACATTTAATGTGAATAAAATACAGTGTGGGATGTCAGAGAAACTTAAAATACTCTTGAGCCTTGCTCGTTCCTGCTGAATATTGCCAGTCAGAAGATTGAAGAATATTCAAGTTTCTCAAGTGAGGTAGAGCCTGGTTAGAATACAGACAATAATAACAAGATCCTGAGACTAATAAAAAGGAAGAACTGAAGAAAGGGGAACAACCCTACAAAATTGTCTGGAGGAATGTACAGTTTAAGTATTTGGCAAAGAGTCTGAGGCAGTTTAGCCTATCTGTGAGAGGCATTTCTCATCTATAATTTTAGCTTTGACTATGTGAATATTCTAAAATGATACTTGGCCATGTCATTAAAAATAGTTTCTAGTATTAATATATTGAGACTTATGTTAATTTCTTAGGATCTTAAGATTGAAAGTGATGCTCAAGAGCCAGCTGAGCCAGAGGATGACCTGGATATTATGCTTGGCAATAAAAAGAAGAAAAAGAAGAATGTCAAATTCCCAGATGAAGATGAAATACTAGAAAAAGATGAAGGTAACATTGGGAACTAAACATCTTGGTTTTAAATTACATAAGCCTTTGATCTGGGTCTCTTTGGCTGACTTGAGAAGCTTTTAAAAAATATTTGTTCTGCCTTTTATTTCCACTGTGTGATAATGAAAAAGTGTCTTGGGGCAGGAGTGTCTTAACTTGATAATGGTAGACAAAAAAATTCATTATTAAAGTATAGTAAAAATTATATACAAAAGTCATTCTGATTCAGACAGGAAAATTACTGTAATGGAGTTTTAAACATTTACAATTTTTTTTTGTTTGTTTTTGTTTTTTTCCTGAGACGGGGTTTCGGACAAGTTTTGGTGCTTGTCCTGAATCTCACTCTGTAGACCAGGCTGGCCTCGAACTCACAGATCTGCCTGGCTCTGCCTCCTGAATGCTGGGGTTAAAGGCTTGCGCCACTGCTTCCCGCACATTTAAAATTTGTAATGTTTACAGTTTTACGTGCTGTAGGGTTTTTTGTCTTGTGTTTGTAAGAAACATTTCATAGTTACCGTGAGTGTCTCATTGAAGATCTTGTGTGAAGTTGTGTTTTTGTCTATAAAGGAAAGGGGGCTTCTCTGGGGTCCCTTTGTACTTGAAGCTGTTGCAGCTGTCACTGTGAAAGGGAAGAGCAGTAAGGGAAGCTTTCATGCTCTAGATCTGTACTCCCCCTTGTTGGATCAAAGCCTACTGATCATTCGTATCTTTGTTATCTGCAGCTTTAGAAGATGAAGACAGCAAAAAAGACGATGGCATTTCATTCAGTAACCAGACTGGGCCTGCTTGGGCAGGCTCAGAAAGAGACTACACAT